AACTTTCAGCGACGGATTTGCGAGGGAAATTCAAGCACTTTCAGCGACGGATTTTCCCTCGCTAATCCGTCGCTAATTTGTAAAAAATTTAAAAATAAATTTTTTAAAAATACATAAATCTTGTATTTATTTTTTAAAACCCTAAAAATAATAATATATAACAAATTAAATCTGTGAACAAAAGTAACCAATTCATACGATTTAAAATATGGATTCATACAATTTAAAATATTCAATTCATACAATTTAATCTTCGATTACATACAATCTAACTATAGCGAGGGAAAATAAATCTTAGATCAATCATTTTAATACTAACAAATATATGCAACTTGGGCATATTTCAACTTCTTGGGAGAAGGAAGGATTCAAACTTAAAAGATACAAGAATAAGAAGACAAGAAGATTGAAACTAGAACTGAAGACCATGTTCTCGAGCAGCATCAGCAAGCGCCTGAATACGTCCGTGATAAGGATAACCACCTCGATCAAACGCCACAGTCGTGATCCCTTTCTCCATGCACGACTTTGCAATAGCTTCCCCCACTTTCTTAGCTACATCCTAACACCAACAAACTCCAAGTTAACACCGACTTTTACACGAAATCCAGTCATCCCACTGGTGCTATAAATACACAAAGAGGAGTTTCTGATACACACACACAAAAATACAAATATATATGTATGTGTATATATTTGTATATATAGGCCCAGTACTGAACCAAAAGAAGATGATATACATGTTTAACAATCCATAAGCCTACTCTTTATTAGTTCAATTCTCTGCAAATTGTTAGAATGTAGCAAGAGCAAACTAGTAATGCATATGTTAGCAATAATGGTTCATTCGCATTTTGTTCCAAAATAAGAGTTTCAATCCTACTTTAAAGACACACAATACTCTAGTTTACCAATCACAGTATCAAGCAGAACCAAGCAACTAAATTAAAAATTTGAAGATCAAAAAAAAAATACAGGGATTACAGCGAAAAAACTCGATTAGATGGAGGCCCACATGAAGATCTCGAAAACCCACCTAAGCATAAGACTTTGCAAAAGCCTAACATTTGCACGTCATGAAAGGTACATGGAAAGCTTTTTGTCTTAAACTTTCACATGTGAGTGATCATCTTTTCCTACGAGATATAGTTTTTTTGTGTTCAAAGCAAAAGATATGGTGATGGATATAATTCGTTTACAGGTGCAGATTCAATTATCAAATCTGAGATCCCCTAGGACTTCCAAATCATTTTGGCAAGCAACAAAAAACCATGTAATATCTTACGAGTTTTAGTTCTAGTAATGCACCAACCATCATAGGCAATTCCATGAATTGGAACACACAAACTCTAGAAGATTGGTGAAGGGAGTAGTTTTCAGGTGTTTAGCCCTCATCAATTAGAGCATAAAATACAGGTTTACATTGGCGTTAGAAACCTCCTAGCATTTGAGAGGCATATGTCATACATCAGCAAACCTTTTGGTTACTCGTGTGTGAATAATGGCTTTTTATGTGTTATCTGTGATAAATTTTGTTGAGAAAAATGCTACTTACAATAGTGGGACCGGAGCTGTAATCAAACTCCTCAGAGAGTGGTTTCTGCTTTGTTGAAGCTGATGCAAGTGTGTGCATTTTAGTATCATCAATCACCTGAACATATAGATGCTTGTTGGAACAAAGACACACAATCTTAGCCTTTCGGGTGTCCCTTCCACCTACAATACAAAGTTTCTAGTCAAAATCACATCGACGGGCACAACAAGCATTATTAGGTTCCCAGAAACTGTAATTTTTATGCTGATATGTGAGTGACTAGATCAAGGAAAGGCCAGGAGGAAATCATGCTCTGGAACTAAAATCTTCCATGAAATTACTCCGCCCAGCAAGAAGAAACAAAAAAATACTGAAATTACTACTGTATCTGTGACCTTTAATTTTAGCTAGTTACCATAAACTGCTTCATGAAAAAAGATCATGCTCATTTATGTTTCCAATGTGATGCAGTGTTATGGTGCATGGTATGGCTCTGTCCCTGGTTTGAAAGTGCTTGTACCTTACTCCTCTGAAGATGCTCGTGGACTTCTAAAAGCTGCAATTACAGACCCTGATCCTGTGCATACAACAGTAATACACATTAAATATGCTATTAGTATACAGTCAAGTGCAATTTTCAGTATGATCAACATTAAATCTGCTGTTAGTAACAGTCAGCATGATCAACATTATGTTGAAACACAGCAGCAGGACAAACACACACATAGGCATAATGTAGTACCAAACAACAATATATAAGATGCATTTAGTAAAGACTTATCTAATCTATATGACAGCAGGAAATAAAAAGTTTAAGATGATTACAGGTCTGTTGGGCAGATGCAAGAGAGGGTTGTTTGGTTTTTATTTTCTACACAAGATGATGCAGTCCCAAATATGAGGATCCTTTTTCTGGTTGTGTTGCTTAATCTTAGTAGTGTTCTTTCTAAAAGAGACTCTGCTCAAATGATCATTGGTTCAGTTGTGGTTTTAGACAGCAGATTCATTTTTTCAGTATCGTATTTTTAATATTATATGTAACAGGGCTATTCAATCTTGGACTTAGCTATTTGACTTAGATGGACTTATATGTAACAGTTGAACCAATGGATTCAAGGATATGGGCTTGTTCATGCCGTATAATACTTGCATCAAATGATTTATAACAAGAGCTAATCACATACAACATTTTGTATGCATTACAACAAGTGGTTTAGACTTCTGTCTTCAGGTCAAAAAATCATTTTGCAAGCTGGTTCAAGGAAAAGCAAGCTGGTCCAACTAAATGTGCATATGAATAACATAATAACCTTTTCATTTGCAAGCTGGTCCAACTAAATGCACATACATAACCTTGGCCTGCTGTAATGCTGTTTATTGTTGCAAAACAGCAGGGGTATGATCTTTGACAGTGTATTGCAAATGACAGGTACATTGAATGAAACATGATCACTTGGTCAACCATCACAGACATTCATATACATAGATATTCACAAATGCTACAAAAATAAAATTTAAAAAGTAATTACCTGGAAGGTTGAATGATGAGGGGACACCGGGAACGATGTTGATCTGCAAGTAAAAGCTCTAAAAAGGTGAAGAAGATGGAACCTAAAAAGGTGAAGAAGATGGAACCAGAGAAGACGATTTTAGGCTTCCAGTTATTTAGTAGTTCTCGGTACAGTTCTCAATCACTTTAATCTTCCATGTTTTTCTCTACAAATTGCATATCAATTTGAAAAATRCTAACACGAAACAATTACAAATCCAAAGCAAAATGAAGAAAAATTATTCGAAATCATTACATAATCTAACCATATTAGAAGAAGATGAAGAGGAGGATGGTGGGGCGGTGGTACTACCTCCTCCGCCGCCGCCCTTCCCGCCACCCCCGGAGTAGTTCCTTTGCAAGGCAGCGTTACCAGATCGACCCAATTTTCTGTGATGTGACGGCTCATTCTTATCACCCCTTGGTTGATTGAAGGACATGTATTCAAACCCTAAAAAAGACCCAATCTTTTTCTTTCCTGAATCAAATTCAATAACGAAAAAAAATCAAAGAAAAATCACCATCCAGATCCCTTCCGATTAAAACAGTGATTAACCATAGTCTATTTTAGCATTACAAAATTCAAGGGAAAAATATGTATTCTTTTCTTTAATTACTTACCAGAAGTAACAAAAAGGGGGAAGAAAAAGAGAGAAAGAAAGCCAGAGAAAGCTAGGGTTTAGGAATTGATGTGTCGATAGGCGGGAACCATGACAACTATGGCGGAGAAGAAACCCACTTCCGACCATACTGTGGACGGCAGCGGCAGCGGCAACGGTGGACGGCGGCGGCAGCGGTGGTTACGTCTCAGGTCGCGTCTCTCTCTCTCTCGTTTGCGCCTCTCTCTCTCTCTCGTTCGTTTGTGATAAAAGTCATAAAACAGTGAGATGGTATAAACCCTAGATTTTTAAAAAAAATCAGCGAGGGAAAGAAATCCGTCGCAGATAGTACAAAAATCTTTAAAATAATCAGCGAGGGAAATAATCCGTCGCAGAAAGTAAACAAAAAAATCAGATTTTTTAAACAAATCAGCGAGGGAATATATCCGTCGCAGATATTAACAAAAAAATTTAAAATATTCAGCGAGGGAAAATATCCGTCGCAGATACTAAAAAAAATTAAAAATATTCAGCGAGGGAAATAATCCGTCGCAGAAAGTAAAAAAAAATTAAAATATTCAGCGAGGGAAATAATCCGTCGCAGAAAGTAAAAAAAAATTAAAACCGTCGCAGATATTAACCAAAAAAATTCAGATTTTTAAAACACATCAGCGAGGGAATATTTCCGTCGCAGATATGAACAAAAAATAATAAAAATATTCAGCAAGGGACCGAATCCGTCGCAGAAGTTAACCAAAAAATTCAGATTTTTAAAACAAATCAGCGAGGGAATATTTCCGTCGCAGATAGTACAAAAAATTTTAAAATAATCAGCGAGGGATTATATCCGTCGCAGAAAGTAACCAAAAAAATCAGATTTTTTAAACAAATCAGCGAGGGAATATATCCGTCGCTGATATTAACAAAAAAATTTTGAAATATTCAGCGAGGGAATAAATCCGTCGCAGATACTATAAAAAAATTTAAAAATAAATTAGCGAGGGAAATTTTCCGTCGCAGAAATTAACCAAAAAAAATCAGATTTTTTAAACAAATCAGCGAGGGAATATATCCGTCGCTGATATTAACAAAAAAATTTAAAATATTCAGCGAGGGAAAATATCGGTCGTAGATACTATAAAAAAAATTAAAATAGAACCCATTAAACCCATTAATATAAACCCATTAAGGCCCAACTAAACCGAATAAAACCCATTAAGGCTCAAATAGAACCGAATAAAGCCCATTAAGGCCCAATAAAACCGAATAAAGCCCATTAAGGCCCAATAAAACCGAATAAAGTCCATTAAGGCCCAATAAAACCGAATAAATCTCATTTAGGCCCAATAAAGCCTAATAAAACCGACTCAACGAGTATATATATAAACATCAATCCAATCGTGGTTACAACCACTACACATCTATATATATCGTGTATACATGTGTATATATATATATTATAACAATTACGTATATATATATATTATAACAATTACAACATTGTGTAAATATATATATATATATATAACACGGGGCGACGGGTATATATATTTATAACACATGCATATATGTGCATATAATACAAATCGCGGTTAGCAACCACAACATATGTATA